GGGGGGGGGGGGGGGGTCTTGTATCACCACCCGCCTGCTAATGGCTCGTGGAGTCATGCGGCCTAAGTTGGAATCAAAGTTTCATCAGCACTTAGGCGCCCCGCGAGAGACCGAAGGAGCCGTAACCGGCGACCGCCTCTTGTAATTTGCGTCGGGGTTCCCACGAAGAAATATCGTTCTCTTTTTGCGAGCAACGGGGTGGCTGTGGGATAGCTCGTGGGATAGCTCGACAAGGTGAAACGACCTCCGTAAAATCGAGATCCCCTGCGCCGCCGAGTGTAACGTCTACGGAAGGAGGAGGGGGAGGGGGGGCATTGTTGTTTACAGAGCGACGCGCTCCAATCCCGCGGACGCGCATTTCCTCTTGCCGATTCCGCGCGCTTCAAGTCCCCGGTTCTGCTTTGCCTCATTTTCTTTTCTCTTTCTTTTATTTATATCGTCACATCGCACCGCGAGATTGCAATTGTGCTGATAATTGGCTCGTCCAACGGAAGAGAGCGGTTTGTATCATATTTGTCTCATTTTGAGGAATGAATTGCCGACGCCGTCCCGCACGACGCGTCGCTACCGTTCATGATCGAACGAGTGATGTGATTACTGTAAATTATTCTCTTCGGGGGCCGACCTGACGGTTGTCCTCGCAAAAATCGTTTATTTTCCACACGTCGCGAGGTAACCGGATATCTTCGCGGCGAAATACACTGGTCCTTCAGACTAACGACGAGTATCTGTCCCGATGATCGATGCCGATCAAATCGCACGGCCAACCGATTCTCAATTTTCCAGACATTTATGGAGTGACGGATGCGCAAAGCACGTGACCGAGCACGTGGACGTGGGCGCCGGGAAAGTCGTCGATCTTCTCGAGTCTCATGAGACAACGCCTCGTCCCTGTTTTATGCACAGACGCATCCCGGCGCGTGACTTAGGTCGCATCGGATGGGATTAAGAGGAAGTTCCCTGCCGAAATTGCCCGCGGATTGACTGGACTGACTCATTGCCCACGTCCGATGTGAGGGCATTCCGCGAGGGCGCAGGCACCGAGGGCGCGGGGACGCGCATATAACGAGGAACTAACAGTGCCATCAAATGGCTTTCTGACGATCGTCATGGGCCTTCGAAGCTGACGAAGACACACTAGGTATGGATTACTCGAAGTTAATAACGGAATAGGAATATCGGCTTCGTCAGTCGATAAACACCGACACTAAGGAATTGAATCGCTTCAATTGACGACAATATGAGGCAACAACCATTGGTTTCTAGCAGTATATGCAATAGTTCTTTCTTTCTTTGAAAACATTGAATTTTAGTGTATAATTCGCGTGATTCAGATAAAAGTACTAATTCTCCTGGACATATACCTAATCTTGGACATTCGTATTGTTTTGGTCTTTAAATATGAATATTTAAACTTTCAACATAGAACACAACAATGATTTATAGCAGAATTTGTAGTGGTTTTTTTAAGATGGAATTTAATGCATCATTATTGGTGTGAATAAGATGAAAGAACCAATTCCCGGACAGGTACTTAATCTTGGACATTTGTATATTGTTTTGATCTTTAAATATATATATATATATATATATATATATATATATATGTGTGTGTGTGTGTGTGTGTGTGTGTGTTTTATATTAAAACGATAAAAATATCCAGGATTAAGTACGTGCCCGCACATATAAGATACTTTTACCTCATGTTTAGAGAAAAATATATTGATGACAACTATATAAGTAATAACTGTACGAATTTTATGTGTAGAATTGTAATGTGTGTGTATATAGTTTAATAAACTATATACATTATAATTCTACATATAAATATAAAATAACTA